TAAGACAATAAAGACATTAGGCGTCATTGGGGACGTGGAGACGTTACGAACTTTTGTGTCGGTACTCCATCAATCGTTGTTGGAACAAAAACATCGGCTGCAGCGACAACCCGGTCCTCACACAAATGCGTCTTCTTCTGAGACGTCGGTGGGTGTGACTAGCGAGGATAGTTATCCGTTTCTCTCAGCGCTTGGCATGCAACGAACACGGCTGTTACTTGTAAAAACCGTGCATGAACTTTCCATGCAGGATGAAGGTGTCGTCCCGGTCTACGAGAAGCTCAGTTGGATCAATGCAACAGCAGTGGCAACCAGGCCGCAAGGCGCACAATCCCCGTGTCTCATCCCATTTATTCTACAAGAAGACTTTGTTAATTTCATTGAGCCGAGCCCCTCATACGACGAGAATCTTTTGCAGCAGATTGGTCCGGCCTTCCTCAGTGGATTTGTTCATCCCACACAGTGTGGTCCTGCGGAAATTCTTTCCATGCCACGAAATGAGATTCGGTGTCTTTACAAGAAGGGGATTGGCCCGTCAGGGAAGCTTTGGACCGAAGTGAAGGACCTCGTGCTGCCCGACTCCCCCATTCTACAGCAGGCTTTTCAGGCGGCAACTCTGGTAGACGCTCTATTTGGCCCTGTAGAACACATCTTACCGAGGCATAGGCGTGGTAAAAAACGAACTTCAGAATTGACGAAAAATCAGAGCCGGTTGCGGAGTTTTTTCATCTCACAACTTCGCTCATCGCGGTCTCTGTCGCGGAGAAGGTGGAGTTGTGCGCTACTGCGATATCCGCGTCTTTTGCAGCGATTAAATTTGTCGCCACTGATGGTTTTTTGCGAGTCGGCGCTGACGTTTTGTAGTTTTAAAGTACATGTTCCTTTTGTTCGCTGTTGCATGCCTTTGCTGCGACGGCTGCGACGAATGGGCCATGACGAGAAGGCTGCACGGTTGGTATGGAACCATCTTTCTGTTGACAGCCCTGTCCTTGCTTTGTTGTTTAAAGAAAATCCGTGGGCTCTGGAAGATGCGGTCACCGTTATTTGTCGCACGATGCGCACGGGTGTGGGGATGCGCAGAGAGGCGTGGATGGGCCATCGATCACTTGCCGTACTGCGTGTGGCCGCCGTCTCTGGGCTATTGACGCCTGCACACTGCATTCCTACTTGTGCCGCCGCCCTTGAGTGTGGCGTACACTTTGCCACCGTTCAGCAACTTGTGGAAGAGGTGTTCGGCCATGATGGCGACACGACACAGTGGGTCCTGAACATGGTGCGACTGACCACCGAGAGTCACACGACGCGTCTTCTTGTGCCTTTGGAGTCCCCGTCTCACTCGACTCGAATGCGCAGCCTTTTGCGAAGATATGCATATGAGTCGAATGCGATCTGCTCACCGCCATTGGTGGAACTATGTGTGCCGTCCCGTAGTAAAATTCTTGCACTCTGGACGTTGGTAAATGACGAGTTCACGAGTATTTCTTTGTGTCGATTGATATGTCGTCTCTTTTTAGATGGGGGATCTCTAATGGACTTGAATAACATGAGTGAAGCACCGCATGTAGGTTTACAAGGGCTCAATAACTTTTTTTGTGAGGAGGTGCTTGCATCCATCGCAGCCAATTGCACAACAGAGAGGAGTTATGTGATATTTATGGATGCAATTCTTTCACGGCGTCGCCTGCGGGATGCTCAAAGGTGTAAGCAACTTTTGTTGAGTGAGATGGACGATGAATGCGGACATGTCGTATTGCCCACTCTTGCCATTGAGAAAGTGAGCATTCCCTCAGGGGCCTGCTAGCAATGGTTTGTATTTGTTGAAAATTTTTCTGGCGCTATCTTCTGTACCTCCCACGCTTAATTCTTGAAAAAATATATATTTTTTACATGTGCATTCGTTTGTGATTTATCTGCCTTTACTGCTAGTACCCACCTCTGGAGCAGCCATGTATTGTTCTTTGGACGTTCTTGATGAAATCGCCCTTTATTTTTATTTCTCTTTTTTTTTTTTCTTTATTTGTGTGTGGACGATTAGTAACCGGCAACGCGGGTGGTGTTGAGAGAGGGGCGCTCTGTTGTCGTGAGAGTGGGCAATAGAGAGAGAGGGAGAGACAGAGGATTGCTCGGATGACCTTCTCACCCCGTGGGACAAAAAGCGGAGAGTTTGCGTTTGACGTATGCAAGCTGAAGCTGGGCTCCGGTGGCAGTGGGACAGTGTTTCTCGCACAGCACCATTGCACCCATGAGCTCGTGGCAGTGAAACGTCTCTTTGCAAAAGGAGCGGCAGAATGTGGAAAAAGTCCTTTGCAGTGTGCGCGTCTGGCAGGCCACCGTTGCTATCATCATCACCATCATCATCATTGTTCCTGTGTTGCCCATCATGGGAAAAGGCCCACAAGCGCAAGGACGGCAACACTGACATTTGAAAAGGATGATGATGATGAAAATCTGCTGAGGGATGTGGATGGCCACGTCAGCTGCAGCAGCGATCTCAGCAACAACAGTCAAATCTACGACGATGATATGCATGATGACAGCGACGGCATTTTTGAGGAAAAAGAAGATGAAGAAATGGTGGAGGTGAAGGGGGTGGTGGCGGAGCTGGAGAAGGAAAATACAAGTGGAGAAGGGAGGGAGAAAAAGAGTTCTCCTGCGTGGGGACGGGTTCCTTCTGTTGCCCGTTCGCCCTGCGAGAGTACGATCCTGCAGTACCTTGGGCCACACCATCACATTGTAAAGTTCCTCGGTAGTTACACCTCCCCAAGCAGGGTCACATTCTTCGCCATGGAGCTCATGGACAGCGATGTTGGGAGAGAACTGCGTGGGGCCAATACGGCTTTTATGAAGGAGGATATTGCGTGCCCACTGCTTTATAGTGTGGCTTCTGCAATTGCCCATCTTCATCGACGCGGTGTTGCCCACCGTGACATCAAGCCAAGTAACATTCTTCTCCGGCGGGTAAATGCGGCAAAAATGATTGTCAGTGCCGCTGAACAGTGTGCCCCCGCAATGCCTGGAGCAGGGCTCGGCAGCATGCACATGGAACGCCGGCCCAACAATGTCTTTTTCTCCGAAGAGAAGGAAGAAGAGCAGCAATACTTCAAGGCTGCACTTGGGGACTTCAGTGCAGCACACTTCATGCATGAGAGCACGAAAGTGGGGAGTGGGCGTGGGACTTTGTACTATAAATCCCCAGAGCAGCTCATGGGCCGTGCTGAGGACTACTTTGCGTGTGACATGTGGGCTCTGGGCTGCACATTATTTGAACTGAGCACCGGGTCTGTTGCCTTTTGCGGCTCCACAGACCTGCAGGTCCTTCATCAGATTTATGCAAAACTTGGCACGGACTTTCAATTTTACCCGGAAAAAATACGTGAGACGACATTGTTTGACAGTCTTTCTGCCCCGTCAACGGCGTTTCTTGAGTTGTTGAAGGGGCTTCTTGCACTCGACCCAAAAAAGCGTTTGACAGCAAGTGAGGCATTGAAGCACCCTTTTTTTGATCCCATTCGGCATAAATATGGTGTTGACAGCGAAAATATGGAGGTGACGTTTCCTCTGCGACCCCGCTGCTGCAGGCCGGTGGATACGACTCGGTTCACTTTCCGCCCCGTTTGTAGCACACCCGCCAAACGGTCTCAGAGGGCAATCGCGGGTGTCTTTTCCCGTGTCAAGTGTGGCCTGAACTTGTCGGATCCCAACCTGTCTTGCTCTGGACGACGATGCAGCGTGTGGTCCTCCTCGTTTAGCGGGAGTCTGACTCCAAGAGCTGCTTCTACTTGTATGAAGTCGCATCATGAGAGCATTAACGCCTCGCGTCGTTGTAGCGGCGGATGGGGTGCCTGCAGCGCCGCCGTCCCTCTCTATTTCTCCTCCTTTACTCCCAGAGCAGGCGGGATGAGTGCACAGGGAAAGGATGATAATCCCAAAACGATTGGTCCACCTATTTCTCCCGTGGCGTTATGCTTTAGCCCGGCGACTTCTGTCAAGTGTCGTGGCAGTTCTATGAGTGCCAACAAGGCGCATACTGCTACCGCTCCTGCTGCTAGCACTCTGGCCACAACCGTTTCTCCGCATGGAAAGACGCTGCGATGGACCCCATCCTCTAAAATCACGCTTGGGAATGCACGGACCAACTTTTTATTTGAAAGAGTCGTACTGGGGGGAGATGCATGTGGTGGTGGTTGCCCAACGGGGCCACGCGTGTTATTGGATGATGATTCCCATTCCTGTCGTCACGATTTTGACTCACCGCCTGTGCGCAAGATACTTTTTGAGTCACCCCATCAGTCTCTTATCTACCGGCTAAACGACAGCTCCGACAACGCAGAGAGCAGCGCAGTAGCCGTCGATGAGCCCTAATTGAAGCGGGGGAGGGAAAGGAAAGGAAGGAAAGGAAGGGAAGGGGAGTAAAGAAAGAATTGTGGACAACTCTTTATGGGAGGAATAATGCGAACATAAAGGAAAATTGACGGAGCCGCTGTGGATTTACACTAATTGCACAGAGCGTTTCACGTTTGGCGCACAGTTAGAACTTATTCATTTTGTTGTTGTTGTTGTTTTCTTATCTATCTCTTTACTCCCCGTCTCGATGAGTATTTTTGTACATGACGCAACGTACCGCACACGTTCACCTTCCACCACCACCACCACTCGCTCTTCTCTTGCCATGAACATTCAATGAGAGACAAGAGTGAGGCGGAGGGGTTGAAGAAAACAAAGGAAAGGGGGAGGGAAATAAATTTGATCCGTGCTGTAGCCGAGTGGGCATTTGAATGGTTGTCTTTCCACCGAATCCAACGTGCAGCAGGACCTCCCTACAAAGTTGTTGTTGTTGTTTTTTTTTTCTTTTTTTACATTCACAATACGAGACTTCAATAGGGGCGGGGAGGAGGGGAGGGGGGAACTGACCGGCCGACGAGTAGAGGGCCGCGACGTCTTTCACTCACCACCCCATCACCGCGACGCAACACTTTTAGATGTCAACACCCGCTTAAATAAACGCACATTATTTTCAACGTTGTACACTTCGCATGATCATTTTGTTTTGTTTTGTTTTGTTAAATTCTTATTGAACTATTTTTTTTTTTTTTCCTTCTTTCTTTCTAGACGATGTGTGTGTACGCCCAGACTTGAGCCCAGTCTTTTTTTTCTTTTTCCTTTTTTCTCGGTTTAAAGTCTGTTGGTGCTTGCAGCCGCCTTCTCCTCCCATTGGTGTTGTCGGCGTGTGTTTGTGTGTGACGATTACTTCCACTTCCTTTTTTTTTTTTTTTCTTTTTTTATTTCTTTTATATTTTTGTTGTTTTTGCCCCCGCCCCACGCATCTGCAACACTCCCGTACAAAAACTTCTCTCCACCTCTTTCTGCCTGTTCCGACAAAAAAAAAAAAAAGGTGAACAAAAGAAGAAAAACGAAGGGGAAGAAAAGAAAAGAAAAGAAAAAAACAAAAAACGGAAGCGAATCCACTCACAGGCAAATCAAAAAGTGAGAACGCAAGGCAAGAGAAACTGAAATAGGAATTACAAAACAAAACAAAAGGAAAAGGAAAAGGAAAAAAAAAAGCCAAAAGAAGAAAAGAAAGAGACATCCGAGTTTTTTTGGTTGATATGCGACTGAGTATAAAATTTTTTGCCGCTCTTGGCGGTTTCCTTTTTGGTTATGACACAAGTGTCATCAACGGGGCCCTCTTCCAGATGAAAGATTACTTTGGCTTTTCAGAGCACTCCTGGAAGGCGGGTCTCATTGTGAGTATTGCCGTTATCGGTGCCTTTGTGGGAGCATTTATTCCCGGAATTGCGTCACTACGCTTTGGACGACGGACTTGTATTGCCATGGCTGACCTCTTGTTTGCCGCTGGATCCCTCCTTATGGCTGTCGCAGTGAATGTGGAAATGGTGCTTGTCGGGCGTGCCGTTGTGGGACTTGGTATTGGTATTTCGTCTGTTACAGTCCCCGTGTATCTTTCTGAAATTACTTCCGCCGAATCGCGCGGAGCTACCGTTGTGTTTAACGGCGTTTCTCTTACAGGCGCACAATTCATTGCTTCTGTCGTGACTGCATTGCTCGTACAGTTTACATCCATTAAAGTTGGGTGGCGTGTGGCCCTTGGTCTGGGTGCATTGCCAGCAATAGTTCAATTGGTTGGTCTTGTTTTTTTTCTGCCGGAGAGCCCACGATGGCTACTTGCAAAAGGTGATCGGGAAAATGCATTTAAGCTGGCCGAAAGGTTTGAAGTGGATATATGCAGATCCGATGAATCTGAATGTTCCGAGAACTTTGCAATTAATTACAGCGGAATCTTTAAGAAGGCGATTCGACGTCGTTTGCTCATTGGATGCATGCTCCACGTTTTACAACAAGCTTCCGGCATCAATACAATCATGTACTACAGTGCAGTTATATTGTATGATGCCGGTTTTAAGGATCCCAAAACTCCCGTTATCTTGTCGATTCCACTTGCGGGCATAAATGCTGTCTCCACCATAAGCGGTCTTTTTACTGTGGATCGATGGGGAAGACGTATATTGTTGCAGATAAGTGCGAATGCCTGTCTTGTCATAACGATTGCAATGACGGCCGTCGGTTTTTTCTTGGGTAATCAAATTCCGTACTCGATTGGAGGATGGGTTTTCCTTTCGTTACTAGGTGTCTACCTTATCTTTTTTGCCCCAGGTCTTGAAGCCATGCCGTGGGTCATTATGGGCGAAATCTTTCCAAATCACTTGCGCAGCACGGCGGCATCTTTGGCAACCATGTGCAACTGGGCCTCAAATGCCCTTGTCTCTCAGGTATTTCCAATCTTGATGGGCTCTATTGGGGTGGGGGGTACATTCAGCGTTATCTGTGGGTGTATTGCCTTCGCAGCTGTCTTTATCCAGTTATTTGTGGTGGAAACAAAAGGACTTACGCTAGAGGAGATTGATTTGTTATTTAACAGGAAGAATGAGGAGGAAATCACAAGTGAAAACGGCACAAATGAAGAAAACTTCAGTCGGAAAGAGAATTATTTAAATCGGGGTAACCGGAACGCCACTGAAAACAACAGTGACCCCAGGCCCTTCGCATAAAGACTGTAAGATGACGCATTACTTATTTGCATTGATGTGTGCATCCTTTTGTGTGTGTACTTTTGTTTGTGCAAAAAAAAGAAAAAAAGGAAAAAAAAAAAGAGAGAAAAGAAAAATTCTTTTTGTGTTATTGCTTTGAAAAAGTCATGTTTTTCCGTTTGTTATTGGGATTCTTTTTTTTTTCTTTTTTCTTTCAATTTCAGTAGGTTTTGTTTATTAATGGTTTCTTTTTTTTTTTGCTAATATTTATTGACATGCACCACTCACACTCTCACTTTATTTATTTATTTATTTATTTATTTATTTATATGTCTGCCAGCTTAATTGTATTACTTCAGCAGATCTCTCTCTCTCTCTCTCTCTCACGCACACACACAACGCAAGGATGCCTCTCGGTGTGGTTTCTTTTTTCTTTTTTTGTTTTTGGTTTTTTTGTTTTTTGGTTTTTTTTGTTTAGTGGGAGGGGCGGGCGGTGTGCGGAGCAAAAAAAAAAAAAAAAAAGGGGGCGACTGACAAGACGGGAGAAAACAAAAAAAAAAAAATAATTATAATTCGGCTTTTCTTTCATGTCGCTTCTCTCCCGACCAATTTTTTTTTTTTCTGTCTTTTTGCCTGCGTGTCCGGGGAGGGGAAGAGGGGAGTTGAGCAAAACGGCCACGTTTTTTTTTTTGTTTTGTTTTGTTTTTTGTTTTTTTGTTACGTTTATTTTTCCCTCCCACTCTTTTTTCCCTCTTCCCGTACGCCTGCCTGCCTGCCTGCCTGCCTGTGACTGTGACTGTGACTGACTGTGACTGTGACTCTGACTGTGACTGTGTGTGGCATTACTCCGCATGGATTTTTTTTTTTTCGGTTTTTGTTTTTTGTTTTTTTCGTTTGTCTCTTCTTTTCCGCCGCCGGTGGATCGGTGCATCGCCGTTTGAAATGGACGCCGACGGTGCGATTCTGCACTTTGCTGGCGTCTTTCCGGCTTGAGGCCCACACCTGTGCTGCCGAGAAGGAAAAAAAAAAAAAAAAATGCGTCGCTGCAAGATGGACTAACCTGCTATTCAAAGAAGTTTGATTTGGTTTGTGTTTTTTTTTTCCTTTGAATATTTATTTATTTATTTATTTATTTATTTATTTATTTATTGTTTAATTTGACCCGAAGTTTTATTATGATTGTATGAGGGATTTATTATTTCCGGCTTATTTACGTATTTAATTTATTTATGACGTATTCCGTTTCTTTACGCCCAATTTGCCCTCCCGCGGTGGGTGTTTGTGTGAGACGGCGGTGGTCTTCTCACGTGTGTGGCTTCCAAAAAATTCTTTTCTTTTCTTTTCTTTTTTTTTTTTTTTTTTCCTTTTCGATGAGTGGGTTCTTGGGAGGAAGTGTGCACTGGCGTAATAAATTGTGCGTGAGTGGCATATTTCAAACAAGTCAAGAAAGAAGGGAATTGTTTGCACAAGGAAATACAAATATATATATATATATATGTATATGTTTACATCCACATAAATATATATGTTTATATGCAAATAAATATATTTTAGGGTTTGTTTGTTTTTTACCTGAAATCGTTTCTCTTTGTTTCTGTGGAGTGAACGCATACACGAGTGGAGGGGAGGGGAGCGACAAATGGGGACGGATCCTGTAGAGGACGTTGTGGAGGGGACTTTCAGCCTCCTTGCCCCACGTGTCCGACAAGGTATGATCATTCCCTCATCCAGGCTGCACTGCAGACGACTGAATTGTTCCCCCCACGCCGAGTGTCATGGTGACCGTCATGCCACTGGCTCCGACCGGATGGATGTAGAGAGTCACTGCCCTGTCGCGCGCTACGGCCATTCCCTCACCGAGATACAGCAGGATGTTTTGTTTCTTTTTGGTGGTGTTTCACAGGCTAAGGAATATCTGAACGATGCGTGGATTTTGAGACTGTACGACGCGGAAATTAAATTCTTCCAGCTGGAGGTTGTGGGGGATGTGCCATGCGGTCGGTTTGGTCACTCTGCGCACCGCATGCTGGACGGCAGGGGCGTCATTATTTTTGGCGGTTCGAATAATAGAGAAGCTTTTAATGATCTGTATGTCACTTCACTGAGCCAGTGGACGAAGACACATCAGGCGGTTTTCCAGCGAGTGGATATGCATTCCCCCCCTCCTAATTCCATCCGTCCAGTGGTAGGCAGTTCAACTTGGAACTTTCCCACAACAACAACAACAACAGCAGCAGCAGCAGCAGCAAACACAACCCGTGTAACTTCTTCCCTCGGATGGCCGAGTCCTCGTCGCTCACATACATTGGTGCCCATGGCGGAGGGAAAGGCCATTCTCTTTGGTGGGCATGGTGTCGTCTCCTTCAATGATGTATGGGTGCTGGATGAAAACGCATTACAGTGGAAGTGTGTGGAGACCCGCAGAACAGATCTGCAGGGTTTTCTAATGGAGATTCCAGCGCCGCGTTACTGCCATTCGGCCGTGGTGTACCCGGACCCAACATCATCTGCAGATGGAAGGAGTGATGCCACTGTGTCGCGTGTCGCGACGAGTACCACCGATGCAGAAATGGGAAGGAGCTTGTATGTTTTTGGTGGGGTCCTTTTTTCTCCCGTGGGCGATAATACTTTGTGGGAGTTGAACCTCTCCAAATTTGTATGGCGTCGTGTAAAGGTGTGGGGTAGTGTTGTCCCACCTCCACGCTTTGGGCATACTGCATGTGTATTGTCCCATTATATGGTCGTCTTTGGTGGGACCGATAAGTTTCAGTCTGGAAACACTCCTGGTGATTGCTTTATGTACAACTTCTGCTCCTGTGAATGGAGTCTTTTGAGTAGGGATTTCCCCGATAATTTGATTGGAATCCCTGTGCTCTCTGTGCAAACCTCAGAGGATGAGACGTTGGAGACGGAAAGAACATCGCAATTAAATTACACTGCGTTAAGTCACTTACCTGTCGCTCTTCGAGGGTGTCAGTCGTTGGTTGCGAAGCGTACGCCAAGTTTCATGCCGCCCGGTCGCCGCTCGCATGCTGCTGCTCGTTCTTCTCGAAGAAAAATTATTATATTTGGTGGATGGGACGGCAACCGCATTGATGGTGATTGTTTTCAGTTGATCTTGGCGCCTTCTACACTAAGGGAGTGGTCGTATGATTTTCTGGTGGGTGCGCGTCGACGACGCGGTTAAATTTTTGTTTTGTGAAGGAAGAGTTTCACCTTTGAGTTATGGAGCGATGTTACTTGCAATAGTGCACACAATCTTAAGGGTTGGAGGGGTTGGCAGGCTGAGCTTGCAGTTGTTTTTTTTCTTTTGTTTTATATTTGTGATTTTTTGTGGCTAGCGCCATAATTTCTCTTTGAACAAACGTATTTTGTGGTCAACACTTCATTTTAGATTGTTTTTTTTTTCTTTTTGCTAAATATTTGTGTAAAAGATTGAACGCATTTATTTGTAGAAGAGAGTCTTTCCTTTTTTTTTTTTTTTTTCCTTTTTTTTTGTTGTTGTTCCCTTTTTGGGTGGTAGGGATCCGCGTGTGCGGTCTCAACGTCCATTACAAATTACACGTCTCGGCTTTATTTCATTCTGTTGTTGTTTGTTTGTTGCTTGTAGTTCCAGTGAAGAGAACAGGGGATTAATTTGTGTGGTGGTGGCGGACAAGGGACTTCAAAAAAGAGGGGGGAGAAGCAAAGTGGAATATGGTGCGGGTCATCAAGGGAAAAGGAAAAGGCGGAGGTGCCCTGCCGCTTCTGGAGTCGAGCGGCGGCATGCGGATTCCGCACATGGGCGTTGGCACGTATGAACTTTACGGCGATGAGTCTCGGATTGCCGTGCTGGCGGCTCTGCGGTTGGGGTTTCGTCTCGTCGATACCGCCGCTGGGTACCACAACGAGGAACACGTTGGAGCCGCCATCGAAGAGAGCGGGGTGCAGCGGGAGGAGTTGTTTGTTGTGGTGAAGATTGCCCCAAAGGCGATGGCGTCGGAGGAACTTGTCGAGAAGGGCATTCGCGAGAGTGTACGGAAGCTGCGGATTGCGTATGCGGACTGTGTGTTGATTCATTGGCCCGGCTGTGGTGGGCTGAAGCCGGAGGAGGCGGAGGGACATCGAGCGGCACGACACCGCTGCTGGAAGGTGATGCAGGCCCTGAAGAAGGAGGGCATCATACGACATTTGGGGGTGTCCAATTTTGCCCCGCGGCACTTTCCCCATTTGGTTGGCAATGCGGCGGAAGAAGCGCATTTATTTGACGCTGCCAACCCATGCAGGCCCGTGATCAATCAGATTGAACTGCACCCGCTCTGTGTGCAGCAAGAAGCTTGCGACTTCTGCCGGGAACGTGATATCATTCTCCAGCAATATTCACCATTGGCGCAGGGACATGCAAAACTTGTTGAGCATCCCGTCCTGTGTGCGATCGTAAAGGACCTGTTCCCTGGGTACACAGTGCAAGATGTGTTGCTCATGTGGGGCCTCAGTCAGGGCTTCTGTGTTGTGGTGCGCAGTCGTTCCAAGGAACATTTAGCGCAAAATTGGGCTGCCGCAAAGGCTTTTTTTGATGAAGGGCTGCTCAGTGAGTCACAAAAGGAGCAACTGAAAAACCTGCGAGAGTCGATGCGGGTTGTGGAGGATCATCATTTCTGTTGGCACAGTGAACATATCGACTAACAAGCCAGGATGGAGCGGGAGGCCAGAAAGAAAAAAAAAATGGAGGGAGGAAAGAGGGGAAAAAAGAGACAAGACGGGTATTGACAAAGTGACTGGCCTTCAACTGCGGCGGCGCACAATAAGCACCCCTCTTTTGGATGTCTTTTTTTTCCTTCTTTGCTTCTTATTGCTGTTGTCGCTCGGGGGTTGTGTGGCGAATAGGGTCAAACGGACACAAACATTACACACAACACGGAGGGTTTGTTCATGTGCCGTCGCATAGTTGGGCGTGGTGTCGTCAAGCCCTTTTTGGTTTCCCATGTCTCCCAGCATTGCCCGCTCCATGCAGATGCGGGGAGGAAAGGCATGCAGGACCGCCTTGCAGCTCTCGTGTTGGAGTGCGATCGGAATTCCTTACGCCCTTTCAGTGGTTCCATTTGTGCCGCGGCTCTCACCGCCACCGGGGTGGGGTTGTGCGCTCTCACTTTTTTCTACAACGTGGGCAGGCCTGTGGTGAATGCGTATGCGGAGGCGCATGCAATGGGTTGCCTCGGGGAAGCGGAGGGAGAGGAGCAGGGGGAAAAATGAACCCAAAGGAGAAAATGGGGTGGTCGTGGCCTAAAAGATGAATTTGAAGAAAATGAAAAAGAAGGCACTAAATCCCTTTGACTAGAAGGGGAATTTGTCGGTATAACAGCATATTGTTCTCACATGTGTATAAGTCTTTTCCGACCTCTCTTTCTTTCTTTTTATTCCCCTCTGTTTTGGATGCCACGGTGCTGAGCCTTACTGGAATCGTTTATGTAAAGGAATCCTAAGATCTCTTTTACGTCTAATGAAAAATAACAAACTTTTGAATTCCCCAACTTTGCGTGCTGGGGGAGCTCGGGGACCGTCAAGATCTCTGTCTTTGAATCATTCACGTTTGCCTGCATCTTCGCCGAGACGAACCACGAAAACAGTAACCTCCGCGGCGCCGGGTAACACCAGCCCGGATCCCGAAAGTATCCAACATGTAAACGAACTTGCAATTTTTCAAGCATATAAAAAAAACTGGTGTGAAGTGATTCTTGGCTCCACCAGCGGACTCCTTTTTCTCATGGTTCTTGCTGTGCTGTATGCAGTGTATACCTTGTGTCTTCCGTACGGGGACAGTATTAGTTTTGGCATCTTGCTCTCTGTCGTTTTGCATCCGAAGAGTACGGTGGAATACTTTGGTTCCCGCTATGAAATGCGATGTTGCGCAGAAAGAATGCGGAAATTACAACAGGCATGGGCGTCGCGATCCAGGCTTTCTGGTGTGATTGGCTCTTTGCTTTCGTTGGGTTACTTCTTCTCGTGTGCGTCAATGCAGGGTGTGATGTTTTTGGGTCTTGACAAACTCTCCGTGAGCGCTCGATGGGGAAGGAGGGGCGGGGACCGTACCGGGAAGGCGAGGAATGAGGCTGGCGAGAAGAGGGAATTTCTCACGTCCACTCCCACGGGGCGAGTCATTCTACGCTTGCTTGTGGTGACCATTTTCACCGTCGTTGCCCACTCGACGATTGGGATTTTCTTTTTCTTTGAGTTGCACGCTGTGCTCATGGCTGTGTTTGCTGTCACAGTTGTGATTGTGCCGGAGGAACGCTTTACCTCCGTGATGTGGCGCCTTTGGTGTTTTGCGCTTGCACTCTTTTTTGTAGTAGCGCTCTCTTACAATATGGCGGTGGATGTCCTCTCCATCAGTGACGCGGTGAAGCGAACGACGTCGGCTGTGGTCAACGCACGCAAAGAGTGGTCCCATCAAAAGACGTACTTCTCCAATTTAAACAACATTTCGGTGCATGATGCAGATGCGAACGTGACTTCTTTTATTTTTTCCTCCAGTGGCATTGAAGAGATGATTATGACGAAGCTCCAAGAAACTGTGTTGAAGGAGATTGACGATACTCTTAGGCACACAAATGCGACGGAATTGGCTGTTGCCGTTCGTCAGGTCATTGGCCCCATGCTGACAACATTTCCATCCGAGATAAGTATTGGCTCTTTGAAAAATAAAAGCAAGGAACTCTACGCATCACTCTTTCGACGCGGGGATCCTTTACTCACGGTGGATTGGCTCAGCGTACTGCAGAATTTATTGCGGCGTTGGCGGCCTTTCTTTGCTTTTTTAACGCAATTGCTGTTTGGATTGGGATCCAATATGATGGGGTTATTTGACTCGGTGTACGCGACCATGTTATTTGTATGTGTTCTGCGATACTTTTTGCAGCTGGAGCACACAATTCTTTATTATGGAGTTGCTAAAATGCTCCGGGTCATTCACCCACAGGGCGGTGAAAAACACGCACGGATGATAGAGCGTGAGATCACGGTGTCATTTCGGACACTCCTGCAATCCTTTTGGCATCTTTCATGGTTTCACTTCTGCATCACATTTTGCCTTTTTAATGCGTGGTCCTTCCCCACACCTTTTTTCTGCGGGATGATATCCTCCCTTACGGCTGTGTTCCCGCTTACACCCAAGTGGTTCTCACCCGTTGCATTTGCATTGGGGTCTGTTTTCTTCAACGCCGTGGCAAGTGACGGGTTCCTTGGCGCTGCCGTGGATCAGCGTGTGTGGAGTTGCTTTCTTGCTTTTTTGGCGTCGTATGCGGACGAGTGGTTGCTTTGTGTTTCGCGTGGGTTGCGAGGAAATCCTTTGAAGGACTTTACTGGCGTGAAGCGAGAGCAGCTGCCAACATTTGTTGTCGGCACGGCCCTTGTGCTCGGTTATGTAACTTATGGGGTGCGTGGGATTTTGCTTGGGCCCATGACTGTCATTGTCGCAAAGGTGTTGTTTGACAATTGGGACATCGTCTCGCACCCCGAATCGCTGCATAGCCGGTTTTTGTTTGCAGAAGAAACGGAGTCCGCATGATACTCAAGAGAGGGTGAGGGAAGGAAAGAAACTGAAGGTAAATATATTTTTTTTTTCTTTTTTTTTTTCTTGTGTGTGTGGTCCATTTCTCGACTTAGTTGCTTGCTTCTTCTGGACGTGGCTGCTCCCGCCCTATACATGTCATAAATGAGAGGGTATGTCTCACTTGGTTATAGGCGAGAATACCCTGTCCAGTGAACCACGAGAAGCGAGGGCACGGATAAGAAATGCATGGAGCATGTGGCAAATTCAGGATGTCGTGTTGCCTACACAGAGAATTAAATTCTCGGGGAGCCCACGCACGGGTACGTTACATTCCGCTTGTGTGTTTGCCTGCAACACATCTTCCACGTAGGTGTCTATGGCGAGTATACCGCATGTATTTACAGTTAGGGGGAGGGAGAGTGTTTCTTTTGTGTTTTCTGTGCCGCTTTAGAAGAAAGAAACCTTTTGTGTAGACATGAGTTTTTTTTTTTTGTTTTATGTATGTTCTGTTTGCTTTTTCTTGTGTGTTTGTGTGTGTGAGCGCTTGTCTGCTCTTTTTTTTTCTTCTTTGATGGCGCATTTTGGAAAAGAACACACACAAGAAAAAGCAAACATAATGTGCCGTAGGCGCCTGGCGCCTGCGGATGTCGACATAAGGAGGTTGCTCGATGCCTACCGCAGTGGCCATTCCTCCAGGGACGTCCATTCCTCAGTGGGAGGAATGATGATGGGCGTCAGGCCTACTTTGCTTTTCAGCGCGTGTCTGCTTGGGCAGCGTGTGACGTATCGCGGGGGAAGTTGCGCACCTCCAGTGCATCGCCGCACGCCTGTCGGGTTTATTGTGGACTGTCTGTGGCGTGAGCACCGCCTTGTCGACTGTCTTCCCATCTGCCCGGAGATGGACCTTCTCGCCATGCCGTCGCCGCGGCCACCACTTCGACTGGTGAAGGATTCACGTAGCGGGCGTCGTAGACTTGTGACTTCACCGCCAACCGTGTCGGAGTATGTAATTCCCCCGCCTGAAATGTATCGTGAGGAAGGGAATGGTGTGAAGGAACGTCTTTTGCAACGCCATCCACGCCTTGCGAAGGAGTTGCTGGTGCGTCGCCTTGCCGGAATGGATGGATGTGTCTTCAAGTCTCGGTCGCCCAGCTGCGGTGTGCTGGACGCGCGCATGTACGCTGCGGAGAGTGGCGGAAGCTACGAGGGGACGGATGGTTTTTTCGTGGAGGAGTGGGTGCGGCCGGCTGCTGAAGCGACGACGATGCCGCTGCCTTTGACAACGGAGCGTCAGTTGTGCTTTGGTGATGTTGCGTCCTCGTCTCAAAGGATACGGTTGGGGGGCAATTACGCAGTCTTGTCTTTTCTCGCGGATGTTTGGGCCCGCTTTGACGCTCGAATTGATGCAGCGACATTTTCTTCTCTCTGAACAGAAGTCGTGTCGTTTATTTTGTTGTTTCCCTGCTTGCAGTTTTTATGCGCTCGGTTGTGTGTGGAAGTGTGCTAGAAATGGGGGGAAGATGAAATGAATGGGCGGGCCACTGTCTCTCCTGTCGCGGTATTGACATCGGTCCGTCCATGCGTATTTGTCTTCCCAACGCATGCATGACTCTTTGCCTTCTTTTCCTTCTCTGTGTGTTGCCCATGGCAGTTGTCTCGTGAGTGAAGTGTCCCTCTTCGTCTGGCAGAACAGGAAAGGAAAAGAGAAGGATTATATTTTTATAGTTTCTCTTACCCAGGAAGGGGGTGAATGGCGTACAATACCCCCGCATGGAATGAGGAGTTCGGGGTGTTGAAGCAAATGCAGGAGGATCGCATGAACTTTGCCAACAGCATGACATGTCATGAACGCTGCGTTTCGCACTACTGGTTCAATGACTTCTACGCGGGGGAATATAGGTGTATGCGTAACTGTCTGGAGAAGCTGAATCAGGTGGGCATCATCACAAATGTTAACTTCAATAAGTACGAACAGGAGAAAACAGCACGGAAGCGTAAGTAATGCCGGGGAGCCATGAAGCGCGAGGTGGTGGGGTGGAGGAGCTTCGTTTTCTACACGGCATCATGTGGCGGTGTTGGGAACGATACATATACATTTATTTATTTATTTACTGTGTATATGTGCTTGATGAGTCTTTCTGTACTTCTTCCCCTGTAAAACCTATTTTAATCTGAATTGGGGAGGAAGTGTATGGAGAAGCCTTGCATCACATCGGCTCATGTGAGGTTACATGATCATTAAGTGGCTGGCTGGGAGGAAGCTGCCTCTGCCTGTGCACGTGTAAGCGTGTATCCATGCACACTTTATTCACCATGCCTGCGGATGACGTTTGGTATGCCCATTTGTGTTTTGTTGTTGTTGTTGTTTTTGTTTCTCTCTCTCTCTCTCTCTCTTGGTTTTCGGGCGTGGAAATTCTCCCCACGGAGAAAGCAGGAGGAGGGTACGTAAGTGGGAAACGGGGGTGGAGGTTTACTGGGGAACTCCGCTGTGGCAAACACATCTGCACAAGGGGGCCAGAAGAAGAAGAAGAAAAGAAATTCGGCCGGTGGAACGATGGTGCTGGCAGAACTCGGGCAGAAGATCGGGGGGGCGATCTCCAAAATGTCGTCGAAGCCCCTTTTGGGCGAGGACGATGTGAAGGAGTTTTTAAATGAGGTTGCGAGGGCGTTGCTTCAGGCCGACGTGCACGTCACGACAGTGAAGGAGTTGCAGCAGACGATACGCGCCGAGGTCGCCATCACGTCGGAGGCTGTGGGTTTAAATAAGCGGAAGATGTTGCAGACCGCCGTGTTCAGCGGGCTCAGGAAGATCCTCGACCCGGGCGTGAAGCCATTCATACCGGCAAAAGGGAAAACCAACATTGTCATGTTTGTCGGTCTTCAAGGATCTGGAAAGACGACATCGTGCACAAAATATGCGGCGTACTTTCAGCGCAAGGGCCTCAAGACGGCGTTGGTGTGCGCCGACACATTCCGTGCCGGTGCCTACGACCAGCTGCGTCAAAATGCCACCAAGGCAAAGATTCGCTTCTACGGCTCATTGACAGAGGCGGACCCGGTCATCATCGCCAAGGAGGGCGTGGCGGAGCTGGAAAAGGAAAAGTATGACCTTATCATCATTGACACAAGCGGCCGGCACAAACAGGAGTCCGCCCTCTTTGAGGAGATGAAACAGGTGCAGGAAGCGGTGAAGCCCAATGATATTGTGTTTGTGATGAGCGCAACAGACGGTCAGGGTATTCGCGAACAGGCGCGGCAGTTCAAGGAGAAGGTGCCTGTAGGATCCGTGATTATCACAAAACTTGACGGGCATGCGAAAGGTGGGGGTGCGCTGGCAGCAGTTGCCATGACAAAGAGCCCCATCGTTTTTATTGGTACTGGCGAACACTTTGAAGATTTTGAGTTATTTCAGCCTGAGAGCTTCGTGAGCCGCATGCTGGGAATGGGTGATATGCGGGCATTGATGGATACAATGAAGGATGCTAACATTGACACCGATAGTGAGCTCTACAGGCGGTTTCAGGATGGCCAGTTTACGATGCGGGACATGTATGAGCATCTGCAGAATGTGCTCAAGATGGGATCCGTGAGTAAGATCATGAACATGATTCCTGGCATGTCGGCTCTCAGTGGGGCCGCGGGCGAACTTGGCGATGTGACATTGAAGGCCTTTATTCACATCATGGACAGCATGACCGCCGCAGAACTGGACGATGCACGTGTAAAGAAGACAATGACCCCCTCCCGCATTCTCCGCGTTGCACGCGGCAGCGGTCATTCTATCCACGAGGTGCACAATCTCATCACGAGCTACACGAAGTTTGAGGAAGTGGTGAAGAAGATGGGAAAAATGAACTTTAAGGCCATGTCGCAGGACCCTGGTAGCATGTTGTCCGGACGTATGGGGCAGCAACAGATGACACAGTTGGCAAAAGCACTTAATCCGACGATGCTACGGCAAATGGGTGGACTTGGTGGGCTGCAGGGCATGATGAAGCAGCTGCAAAACCTGAAGTAGGCCCCAAACTCCGGTAGTGTGAGGGAGAAAAAAAGGGAACCGGCAAAGCACACATTTTTATGTGTGGTGTACATATGCAAGATATGTGAAGTACGTTGACGGAACATTTCCTTCCTTTTGTCTGCCTGTGTGTTTGTGTGTGCGTTTTTCCTGCACATTTTTTTGGCCTCTAAAATATGTTGCGCGGCGAAAGGGTCTGCAAGCGCACACGTACACACGTAAAGTTAAAAAAAAAAAAAAAAAAGAGACTGCTATGGATTAAAAGTGAAACCGAACGAGGAACCGATTATCCACTTGCACATTGAGTCACAATGCGACATCTCAGATTCTCTTTTTTTTTGTTGTTGTTGTTGTTTTTTTGCTTCCTGTTTTTTGTTGGCTTTTTCTGCTTAGTGCTATCAGCGATGAAATCTGCACCCCCGTGCTTCAGCGGTGTTGTCTTTAACTTTCCATTTGCCCCCCTCCCTTTTTTTTTTTTTTCCTCCTCTCTCCTCCCAACACGCACAAACACACGCCAGGCAGTATCAATTAGATCACTAGAGGTAGACGATTTCTCAAATCCACACACCTTATTTCCTCGCTCTAGGCGTGTGCTTGGTTGCAATGGCACTGGCGGAGTCCCATAAGGCTAGCGAGGAGAATTCCGCGGGAGCGCGTACGTTATTTGGCAATGTCACAAACAAGTCGTGCACAAAAACAGTCAACACTTCACAAGATACCCCTCGTGGCTCTCATTTCTGCAGGAAAACAAATTGTGTGACGGCGGCAGCGGCGCCATCGATGGCTGCACCCCCGCGAAAAAACGGCTCGGTTTCGTCACTAGAAGAAAGTTCGACGCATGTCGACCGCCAAACCCCACGAGAATTAGGCGGCGGTGGTGCTGGCGCAGAGGAGAAGCACGTCGGATGCGCCGATCCCGTGACTCTACTGGAGGAGCAGGAGGAGGTCTCGCCACGAAAGAAGATGCAACGCCCACGGAAGTTTCTTGAGAAATATTTTTTTCTGAAGAATCTCAACGCCCTGCCCCTAACGCCGGAAAGGGAGAAAAACGGTGCAACGTCGGCTCCGTTTCGTCGTGTGTCGGTGGAAGAACCCGCCACCGGCGTTTCGGGTTTGGGGGCGCCACCGCCGCCGCCGCCGCCGCCTCCATCCGAGAACAATGGGGACCATTCAACAGCAAGCCTTGTACGCTCACGCCGCTTTGATGCCCCGAGGCCCAGTGTCCTTTTTTATGTGGACATTTTGCGTAACAAACAACCTCAAGAGAGAGATGGAAGTGACAATGTCAGAATGTCGCCTGCAAAAGTGACTGTCTCCCGTCGCAGCTCCATTAATATGCAAAAACACGAAGTGGTGCCGCCAACTCTTGTGATTCGGTGGCTGAGCCAGGAAGCGGATCCTCCTCTCCCGGAAAGGGAGGCGGATGATGGAAAAGTTGCGGAGGAGCTTACAGCGCCTAATAACCCAGCAAAGGATGTGAAAAGCGTTTCACGTAGTCGTTCTGCACTTGAAGAAACATCTTCATACACGGATGGTATTGATCTCAGTGCCATTTCGGCAATTCATGAAGAAGAGGTATTGATTGACTTTGATGGGTCCACGACCTCCACACGTCTTCCCTTTTCAACGTTAGATCAGGTAAAAGATATTCTTTTAAAAGAGAGCCGTATTCAAGAGGAAGGGGCGTGCGCTGTACTGTCCACACCGAAAGACGTGGCTGAAGGGTTCACGCAGCAACCTACCCACATGCCAGAAACAGATGGGGGTATTACTGAAGATAACATCAATCACTGGATACTGTCTTTTGCAGGACGTCCATGTGGTAACGCGGATACCTTGTGGCATGCCATTGATGAATTCCTTTCCTTGTATTTTATGGACCAGTTCAAGGCACACGAGGCAGAGGTATTGGAGGCAGCCTTTGTGGTGGGGTATACCCAGATGGTTGCGCTCCCAATGACGAGGATGTTGGAATCTTCTGATCGGCGTATCTTGTGCATGAAACGAGACATTTATATTCGACGTATGATTGAGTTTTTCATGTTGACTCTACCAGTGAGACGCGGGAAAAAGCTCTTTGGACGCATCCGCTCTGCGTCTTGCCAACAGACGAGGCAAAGTCTGTTAGCACCTCGGAGTGTCTCTCAGTCAACTCATCAACTGGGCTGCAGGTTTTCCGCTCGTGGCGTGAGGAGTTTGCCGGGCGTCATGCAACGCGACGCACGCGTCAGTGGAAGGGGCGGGAAAGCTTACAGTGGGGCTGCAGAAGCCAACTTCAAGGCGTTTTCACAAGCACCGTCAAGGCCCATTAGACTTCGGGCCTACAGGATTGTCCCACCCGTGCCAAGAAAGATCACACCGAAACGTTCACCAAGAGACGATGAATTGATGGACATCATGAAACTCGACTTGTCTTGAGTTGTTGTTGCTTTTGTTTTTCTTTTTTCTTATTTGCAGGCGAGTCCGGAGGGTTGGTGGGCTCCGCCGCATTCTTACAGCGAATGCACGTTACATCTGACCGGTCCGCCATCACATGTCCCATATCCATATAGAGGCACACATGTGCATGGCTAAGGGCTAGGCAGCGGCAGCAATAAGACCGCATCTGCAATACGATGAAGAAAAGAGGGATTTACGAGGGGAAAAGAAAATGAATGGTCTTTTTGATAATTGAAGTGTTACATCCGTCAAATGTCGAGTTAATTGTTTGGTCTCGTTTTTCCTTTTTTTTTTTTTTCTTTTTTTTGTTTTGTCGGCTTGCGATAAAAATTATGCACGCAAGCCACAAATTCCAATCACACATGGTAGAAAATGGAGAAGAGTCTCACATGTATTGTTATAATTATTTTTTATTTTTTTTTTTTTTTTTTTTTTTTTGGGGGGGGGGGGAAGGAAATGAGTCATCGTGGGTGGAATATCTACTGCCGCGATCTCTGGAGAAAAGAAAAGAATTTCTTTTTAAAGATTTATTTATTTATTTATTTATTTTGTGTGGTATTTCCTCGTCCCTTTCTCCCCCTCTCTCTCTCCCTCTATATATATATATATATTTGTATGTGTGTGCGTATATAAACATATGTGCGGATGTTGTCTCGATGTGTGTACGGCTGCCTTCCCTTTTTTTTTTTTTTTTTTTCCTCCCCCCTCCTCTCTTCTGTGAAGATAGGGGCGGGGCGGGGGGCGGATATTGAGGGAATTGGGAAGGATGTCGCGCTTCGACCGCGTTGTCATTTTTTTGGACATTGATGGCGTCCTGCTCCCCGTGCCTCGATTCACTTTTGGCGGCGGCGAACTCTCTGAGCAAAGTGTCCTTATTCTTCAGCAGATTGTCAAGGGCTGCGGTGGGAGGGAAAAGGTCTCTATTATCCTCTCGTCCACGTGGCGCAATTTCCCCGATCAGGTGCGACGGTTGAATCAATTTATTGAGAAGACAACAGGGACGGAGGTGCCGGCTGTCGCTGGCGGTACTCCAAACGGAACGCCCAAGACGACGGTGGTCACGTACTTCCCGGATGACCCATCGGAGCAGAGACTCGTGCGGGATCGCGTGGATGAAGTGAAGCGATGGATACACACGCACATGCAGGACTACCCGGAGGCGATTGGTGGCCGGTGGTTCGCGATTGACGACATGCAGCTGGACGTTGATGAGCGCATGCGTGGTCATTTCTTGAAGACAGAGACGGAGACGGGCCTAACGGAGGGGGACGTGGCGCGGGCCCTTGACGTCATCGCGTCCCTCCCAACGGCAGACGTGGCGGCGAAAAACGCGGTGGCGGCGATGGTTGACCCCGTGTTGAAGGACGAGGAAATTGACATTTTGAAGAGCCGATGCCGGGAGTTGTCCGCGACGGTGAGTCAACTGCAAGATTCCCTGCGGCAGTCGCAGGATGAGGTGCATGCCCTGCAGAAGCAGCGTCACGAATGGGAACGTGAGCGCAAAGAATTGACGCGTCGTCTTGAGGACGTTAGTTACCGTCTGGCAGTGCACGACTTTGCCAAAAAGAATGATGTACTGCGGGCAGCAGTTGCGGCCCTCGAGAACAAAACAGGGAAGGAACGGCAGGAATTAGAAAAGCGCATTAAAGTTCTCGTGGAGCTTCTGCGGCATAAAAAGTTGCTTGAGAAGGCTGCGAGAAAACAACGGAAAAAGTTGAACGATGTAAATGAGGGGAAGGGATCAAAATAAGTACGACCCGCCACTCCCAGGCCTTTTCCTTTCTTATACGCCCTCTCTTTTTTTTGTTTTTCTTCTTTGCCAGAGGGCATGCGCACAGCGAAGCAGGCACCAACACCAAAAAAAAAAAAAAAAAAGACGTGAGGGTGGGAAAGAAGAAAGGAGGCATGTATATCAATATATATATATATATATGCGTATATACAGGTGCCGAAGCCCATCAGGAGTATTCTTTTGTTGTTGTTGTTTTCGTTAATGGATGTGTGGGTAAGAGGAGAAAATGAGGGAGGGAGGGGGGGAGTATGTGGAAATAAATGGCATTTGGAACTTCTGGTGTTGTGTATCCATCATATCTGCTTTTTTGCTGTTTTGTTGTTTTGTTTTTGTTTTTTCCCATTGGGGGGGTTAAATGTGGGGTCCATCACACACAAACACCAGGACGATCGAGACACGCGTTCTCTTTCACGGTGGGGTGGGGTAGGAGGGTGGGTGTGCATATTGTGTTAAGCATTTGCTGGTGGCAAGGAGGGGTGTAATCCAAGGGAAGAAACAGCCTACTCATCAACACTTTAGGCAACAACAACAATAACAATTAAAAATTAAAAAGAGTGAGAGTGAGAGTGAGCGAGCAGTGTGTGTTGAGAAGGGAAGCGAAAAAAATAAAACTAAAAAAAAAAAAAGGGGGGGGGGGGACAATGCGTCAAAGGGCATTTGTGAGACTGGACGGTTTAACGGCCGATACAACGGCACTGGAGGTAGTAGAGTTCATGCAGTGTTGTGGCCCGGCGGTAAACGTCTACGTGCATGCAGACCCGGATAGTGTGACGGGTTACTATGCGCTGATTGAGTTTAAATATGAAAAAAGTGTTGAAGTAGCAGAGTTACTTTCCGGGACGTCTTTCCGTGGGCATGAGGTAAGTATTACGCCGCTTGATCGAGAGGCTCATCGGGAGAATACAGCATTCCTGCAGGCATTGAGACCCAAAAGAGAATTAGACACCATTCACGGGAACAGATGCGGAAAATATGGTGTATTGCGGTAGGCTATGAAGTCTGCAGAGAAGATTTGGAAAAAAAAAAAAAAGAGGGGGGGGGGAGGAAAATGGGCATCATGTGGTATCCGAGTGCTGTCATTCTTTCTGGTGAGTTATTGCCGACAAGTCATTAGCGGGGATTAGTTACAATAGACAATTCGACCGCGTAAGCCAAACATTAAATGGCAGGCGGTTAGGGTAGGAAAGTAACAAGACGGCAATGTGAGTGTACATCCTCCCAACCGCAACGAGTGGGGGAGGAGTGGAGGAACAGGAGTAATGATTTGATTTAATTTGATTTTTTTTTTCTTTCCTCCTTTCCTTTATAAAGAACTGTTTATTGTTATAATTTATATGGAGTTACAGATATACAATTTGCTTTTGCTTTAATTGGGAGTGGACTCATTTGTTTTAGTGTGATTTACTCTCATTAAAGCGATTGTTTGCGTTTGCCTTTTTTTTTTTTTTCCTTTTCTCTCTTTGAGCGTAGCTCTTTCCTGGTTTGATTATTCGTGTCTTGTTGTTGTTGTTGTTGTTGTTTACGGTTTGCAAGGCCGTTTCGACTTTCATTTTGTTGTGTTTTTATATACGTCGATCTTCTTCCTCGTGTTTATTGCCGTGGGGGGTAGGGGGGGGAGGGAGAAATGGAGGGGGAGGCCAAGGGCCAGCAATTATTTCCTTCATGAAATTGTTTTTTTTTTTTGTTGCTGTTGTTTTTTTTTTTTTTTTTTTGGTGGTGGTGGTGGATCTGTGGATTCTGTCGTTGTTACTTTTGTTGTTGTTGTTTTAATTGTTCTCACTCTCTCTCTCTCTCTCTCTCTCTCTTCTTCCCCCACTCTCTTTGATTGTCATTGGGTCGATGTCATCGCGTTCAGGGCAGTGCCTTCATGCCCCTGTTTCGACACTCCGGCGGCTCCGGCGGATTCCCCACCGGCTTCCGGGCGCCAGCGACTGCCGGCATCGATTCGGCGGACACGGCCGCAGCCACCCTCTCCTTGTTGCCGCTGCGGCGGAGAGAAAGGACGGTGATTTACCCCGACAGCAAAGGGGTCACGCAGGCTGAAATCACAGTTGCTCGACTTGCAAAGAGGGCTCACATTGAGTACCACCAGCCCGTGCGAGAAAAAAAGGCTGCCCAAGAAGGGGGTGCGGAGTGCGGCAACGAGGCAGAGGCCGCGGTTGACACCGGATCCGCGCAGGAAAACACACATCCAGGGGGCGGAGACCCCGTCATCGAGCAGAAGAAGCAACAACTCCCACAAGGACAGGACGCAGGTTGTGGTACGGCGCAAGAGGGAGACGAGGAAGAGGAGGAAAAGAGCGAGGTTGTGTCGCGCTATCCAGTAAGCCCGTATGGAAAACTTTATTTTCAGGTGGAGACCGATGCAGCCACTCGACATGAGTCGACGGGCATTATTATCATTGAAACTGAGCAGTTGGGCGTGATGATGTATGATCGCGCCGGTCGACAGTTTGGCAACCGTCCAGATCCTGGGTATCCCATCAAAGAAGAGGATGTCAACAACGCCAAGGCGGGCATGACACTTAAGGTTGCCTCCAAGACCGTTATGCTTATAACAGCACTGAAAGAGGAATCCTTCCGCAGTGGGGAATTTTTCCTTCGTTATGAGCACCAACTTCGAAAAAAGGAAGAAAAACAAAAAGAAAAGGCTGCGGCCGCAGCGGGCTTACACGTTATAAAGCCTAAAATGTCTTTTGGCCAAAGCCTTTCAGGATGCATTTTTGCTCAGCCAGTATTTCGCAAACGGCCACGGGACGGCCAAACCGGATTTACCGTTCCTGTTGCAGGTCGACCAAAGACGGGACCAAGCGGTATCCGGGCCGAACTGAAGCCATTACACGATCCTGACCGTGAGGGTGCCGTCGTACTCTTTCGGGCAGACTATAAGCGAGACGCCAATGGCCGCCTACAGGTATCGGTTGTGGTGGATCCTATCATTGGTGACAAGTTGCGGCCCCATCAGAGGGCGGGGGTGCAATTTCTTTTTGACTGCATCACAGGGGAGCGGATGCCTGGCTATCATGGCGCCATCCTCGCGGATGAAATGGGCCTTGGCAAAACTATTCAAACCGTCGCCACCATCTACACGTGCCTTCGTCAAGGAAAACATGGGGTGCCCACAGCCCGCAAGTGTCTTGTTGTCACCCCTTCTTCGCTTGTGAAAAACTGGTGTAACGAGTTTGATAAATGGCTGGGCGAAGGGGCAGTGAAGTACTTTTCTATATCCGAATCCACACCAAAGGGCGATCGCATTATCTCCCGCTTTGATGGAGAGGGCGATGTCCTTGTTATATCCTACGATCAGCTAAGGAAGTATATCACCCGCATCTCCACTCTTAGGTCTGTGGAGCTGGTGGTGTGTGACGAAGGTCACCGGCTGAAGAACGCCGAGGTGAAGACGACAAAGGCGGTGGACATGTTGCCGACACGTAACCGCATCATTCTCAGTGGCACGCCGATTCAAAATGATCTTTCAGAGTTTCACGCCATGGTGGGATTTGTCAATCCCGGTATATTGGGCAGCCGTGATGTGTTTGCGCGTGTCTTTGAGGAGCCGGTGATGCAGGGACGAGACCCCGATTGCCCAGAGCACCTTCGTTCCCTCGGCTCGGATCGCGCCCATTATTTGTCAAACTTAACGCAGCGTTTTATTCTTCGCCGCACGCAGTCAATTAATGAGTCGTACCTGCCTCCAAAGGTAGATGTGACAGTGTTTGTGCGACTTGGAGAACTACAAAGTGTCGCTTATGAAAAGTTGTCAGATCTTGTTGAAGGTTCCTCGTGCCCGCCTCTTGTGCTCATATCCGCCCTGCGAAAGTTGTGCAACCACATGGATCTCTTTTACGAGGCGGTGTTAAATTCCAGCAAGGAGGAGGTTAGGGAGGGACATGGTATACCAAAGTCTGTGCTTCCGAAAGGATACAAGTCAGGGACTCTTTCTGAGGCGGCTGGAGGGAAAATGCATTTTGTCTCTCTTATGTTGGATGAGTTGCGCAACAACGGAGACCGTGACAAACTTGTCATTGTTTCGAACTTCACTCAGACATTAGATGTCATTGCCAACATGTGCCGTCAAAAACGCATTAGTTTCTTTCAACTTGATGGCAGCATGCCAGTCAAACGCCGGCAGGAAGTGGTGGACCGCTTTAATGTCCCCGAATCGCAGGAGATTGTCTTTTTACTTTCTTCCAAGGCTGGCGGTGTTGGATTAAATCTCATTGGCGCAAACCGACTGATTTTATTTGACCCCGACTGGAACCCTGCGAATGACGCCCAAGCAATGGGACGTGTTTGGCGTGACGGACAGAAGAAACGGGTCTTCATCTACCGCTTACTTAGCGCCGGATCCATTGAGGAAAAGATATATCAACGTCAGGTAAGCAAACAGGGACTCTCGGCCAATGTTGTCGACATGAAGAGTGACTCCAAGCAACATTTCACGCTGGAGGAGCTGCGGTCCCTCTTTTGTTATCGTAAGGATACCCGTTCTGACACGCATGATCTCCTGCACTGCACCAACTGCGAGGCGGTGGTGGAACTGTTGGCATCATCCTCATCTGGAGCAGGGAAAGCCAAGGAGCTCTCAGCGCCAATGAAGTTTCGTCGCGTTGGTGAGAAGAAGAGCGGACCTCGAATGGATGAACTAAGAGGATGGCGTCATTTTGCCCGATGTGAGGAGTTTCCACTAGACAAGGTGGTGCGTGCCATATCTAGCAAGGCACCAGGGTTGTGCAGCTTTATCTTTGCCGATGAGCGCGACAACACGGCGAGTGCGGCTACCGACGGTAAGAGTAGGGAAGGCACCGGCAAAGCAGCCACAGTGCGGGTGGAGCGCCCCTTCGTGCAGGACGAGGAACAAATTATTTGCCCCAGTCAACAAGAGCATCTCTCGGAGGAGTCAGAGCTTGAAATTGAGTTGCATGACGACGACGACGACGACGATGAAGAAGAAGAAGAAGAAGAAGAAGAGGAATTTGAGGAGGTGGAGGATGATGATGATGAGGAATAAAGAAGACGAGGAAATTCCACACAACTGCCCCCACCAAGAAATAAGAAGGGGACATCGAAAAAAAAGAAAAAAAAAAAAAGTTGTGTGCTCCTACAGTACTTTCAAACCGTTTTACTTTAGACACTTTTCCCTCTTCCGTATTCCTCACCCCGCGTAGTTCTCCACCAGCTTCGCCGGCAGAGTTGAATGGGTCTACACTTTACACATTTCAAGGAATCGCCGCTCGTTCATTTTTACGGTGGTCATTTGACACTCATTTACAAATGATCACTTTTTTTTCTTTTTTTTTTTCTTAAATTTGTTGCCAGCATAACGACTCCTGCCCAATCAACAGCGCAGCGAATGCGGACTGGCTGTCTGCGTGCCTCTCGAGCCGTGCACAGAATGGCGTGTATACGTATGTGTGCTGGCAGGATGGAGGTGGAGGATATCAGCCGGCATGTCTTTCTTTTCCTCTTTTTTTTTTTTTTGCCCGCCGTGAAAGAATTAAACGCAACAACAGAGAAACACTTAAATTTTACCTTTTTACAAAATCAGCAACCTTTTTTTTTTTTTTTTTACAGCAACAAGCTAAAAAACCAGCAAAATAAATATATATTTATATATTAAGCGTCTTGTGATCATGGCAAGTCTGCAATTGAACGCGTCTAACTGTCAAGGAAGAGCAATCCTGACGGACCGCTACATCAACCGTGGCACCGCCTTCACAATGGAGGAACGCCAGAAGCTGCACATCCTTGGTCGTCTGCCGCCTGTCGTCGAGACGCTGGAGGAGCAGGTCGCCCGCGTGTACGGGCAGGTGAAGAAGTACGAAAAGCCGATCAACCGTTACCAACATCTTGTCTCCGTGCACTCGACGAACACGACCTTGTACTACGCCACCATCCTTGCCCACCTGGAGGAGATGCTTCCCATCATCTACACCCCGACAGTCGGCGAGGCGTGCATGGAATACAGCCACCTCTTTTTCCGTGAGCGCGGCGTATACTTCAATCGCCTGTACAAGGGTCAGTTCCGGAACATCATGCGTGACGCGGGATACCAGAAGGTGGAAGTGGTCGTCATTACAGATGGCTCCCGCATTCTTGGCCTGGGCGATCTTGGCTCAAACGGAATTGGTATCAGCATTGGCAAGTGCTCTCTGTATGTTGCGGGTGCGGGCATTGACCCCCGGCTAATCGTTCCCGTCATACTGGACGTTGGCACGAACAACGAAAGGTACCTGCAGGATAAGGATTACCTTGGCATGCGTGAGAAACGCCTCGGCGACGAAGAGTTTTATGAACTACTTGACGAGTTTATGGAGGCGGCCTCTGCGGAGTGGCCCAACGCGGTCATTCAATTTGAGGACTTCAGCAACAACCACTGCTTTGACATAATGGAACGCTACCAGAAAAAGTACCGCTGCTTCAACGACGACATTCAGGGAACGGGTGCGGTGATTGCCGCCGGCTTCCTCAACGCGATAAAGCTCTCGGGCGTTTCCCCGCTGCAGCAGCGCATTGTTGTTTTCGGCGCAGGCTCTGCCGCTGTCGGTGTTGCAAATAACATTGCGGCGCTCGCTGCACGCATGTACAAATTCCCCGTGCAGGACCTTGTCAAGACGTTCTATCTCGTCGATACTAAGGGCCTTGTGACGACGACCCGCGGCGACCAGCTTGCGGCGCACAAAAAGTTGCTCGCCCGTACCGACGTCTCCGCGGAGGACTCAGCGAAGCTGCGCACGCTCGAGGAAATTGTGCGCTTTGTGAAGCCGACGACGCTCCTTGGCCTTGGCGGCGTGGGCCCCGCCTTCACGGAGGAGATTGTGAAGATGGTGATGCAGAACACCGAACGCCCCATCATCTTCCCGCTGTCGAACCCGACAAGCAAGGCGGAAGTGACGCCGGAGAACGCCTACAAGTGGACAAACGGCGCGGCGATCGTAGCGTCCGGTAGTCCATTTCCGCCGACGACTATCGGTGGCAAAACATTCAAGCCGTCGCAGGGCAACAACCTGTACGTCTTTCCCGGCGTTGGTCTTGGATGTGCGCTGGCACAACCGACGCACATCCCGGAAGAACTCCTCCTCACGGCGTCCGAGTCCCTGAACCTCCTCACAACGGAGGGAGACTTGCGGGAGGGTCGGCTGTACCCGCCGCTGGAAGACATCCATAACATCTCCGCAAACGTCGCCACCGACGTGATTCTGGAGGCACAACGCATGAAGATTGACAACAATAAGAAGCTGCCACGCACCCGCGACGAACTCCTTGCCTTTGTGAAGAAGGCGATGTGGAAGCCGGTGTACTCGGGAGAGGTCGGCGAGCAGGTTTTATGAACCGCCAAATTCTGAAGAGGCCAACGCTTTAATTTTTGTGGAATAGAAATGGAAGTAAAGTGGAATCATGTGTTGTATGGGAATAAAGAGGGGAGATGTTCCAACAAATAAATAAAATGAAATTAAAGAAACGAACGAAGAGAATGTTACTCACGCTGCTTAAAAAGTAATGTGCGAAAGGCGAAAGTAAGGAAGTTAAAACAATAAGCATTTTTTTTACGCTAAAGGGCAGATGTTGGTGAAGTACGCATTTGGAATTTAAAAAAGAAAAAAAAGGGAGGGGGGGGGGGGAAGTGGTGCGCTGGGTTTACCCTAATTTCACAGATTATGTTCTGTTTATGTTTTCTCTATCTGTGTATTTGGCCCTGCACTTCTTAATAAGAAATTTAAATGGGGCTCTGTGTCTTGCGCGTATGCGAGCGATTGGGTTTGTGGAGCCATTGGCATTTGGTGTCGCTGCTTGTTTTTTTGTTTTTTCATGCTGTGTCTGGGAGAGTGGAGGGGTACATGTGTTAATTGTCTTTTTACTTTCTTTGTGTTCTACACTAGAGGTTAGGTAACGGTTGTTACTGCATCCTGCTATCCGTTAGGAGAGAGATAAAGAGAGAGGTGTTGAATTAAAATAAATCTGTTGTTTTAACTGAAGAGCTTTCGTTGATTGCTTATTTTTGATTGCGCTGCAGAGTGGATCATGCTTGCCCGGACTTTACTGCGTTTTGAGAAGACTGGACGCACTGCGCGTGGGGTGGATTTTTTGCGCAATCGTTTTACGAATAAGGCTTCTGCCTTTACAAGGAAGGAACGTGAGCATCTTGGCGTTGTTGGTCTCCTGCCTCCTGCGGTGGAGTCCATCGATGACCAAGTGGAGCGTGTCTGGGTGCAATTTAATCTTCTCAGCTCCCCAATCAACAGGTACCAATTACTTCGTGGTATCATGGACATAAATGTGACTCTGTTCTATAAATTTGTTCAGAAACACATCAAGGAAACACTGCCTGTCATTTACACTCCAACAGTTGGTGAGGCATGTGAGCGTTACGGTGCCATTTTTATGAGAGACCATGGGCTGTACGTGAGCATGCAGGAAAGGGGAAATATTCGGCAGTGTTTGAAAAATCTTCGTAAACCCAACATTGATATTATGGTCGTCACGGATGGCTCCCGCATTCTTGGCCTGGGCGATCTTGGGGCTAACGGCATGGGTATCAGCATTGGCAAGTGCTCTCTGTATGTTGCGGGTGCGGGCATCAGACCAAGTCGCGTCCTGCCTGTCATGTTAGACGTTGGCACGAACAACGAAAAACTTCGCAACGATCCATTGTACCTTGGACAACGCACTTCTCGGGCCCAGGACAGGGAGTTTTATGAACTACTTGACGAGTTTATGGAGGCGGCCTCTGCTGAGTGGCCCAACGCTGTCATTCAATTTGAGGACTTCAGCAACAACCACTGCTTTGACATAATGGAACGCTACCAGAAAAAGTACCGCTGCTTCAACGACGACATTCAGGGAACGGGTGCGGTGATTGCCGCCGGCTTTCTCAACGCGATGCATGTCAGTGGTGTTCCCGTGAATGAGCAACGTGTTGTATTTTTGGGTGCCGGATCAGCAGCGACGGGTGTGGCGGAAATTATTGCAGAGCTCGCGGCCCTGGAACTTGAGACTTCTGTTGAAAAGGTCCGAAATTCTGTGTATCTGGTGGATTCGAAGGGTCTGGTGACGACTACACGTGGAGACGAGTTGGCGCCGCACAAGGTTCCTTGGGCACGTACGGATATTGCCCCTGAACAAAACGAATCCCTCCGTACGTTGACCGATGTTGTGCGGCATGTTCGTCCGACGGCGCTGATTGGACTTGCTGCTGCCGGTGGTGCCTTTACGGAGGAGATGATCAAGTACATGGCATCATACTGTAAGCGTCCCATACTGTTTCCGCTTTCAAACCCCTCCAGTAAGTCGGAGGTTAACCCTGACGATGCCTACAAGTGGACAAATGGCACCGCAATTGTGGCATCTGGTAGCCCGTTTCCGTCTAGCGTCGTGGACGGCAAAGTACTGAGTCCCGCGCAAGGCAACAACCTTTACATTTTTCCTGGCGTCGGGCTCGGGTGTGTCATTGCACAGTCGCCATATATCCCGCAGGAAGTATTTGTCACGGCGGCGCTGGCGCTTAGTCGCCTGGTTGATACCGAAGTTGTTCTGGCGGAGGGTAAATTGTACCCGTCCATTGACGGCGTCCGCAACGTGTCGATGCACGTGGCAGTAGACGTCATTGAGGAGCTGCAGCGCATGGGGTTGGCAAAGAGTGATCTGCCGAGAAACAAGTCGGATCTCACCAACCTTGTGAAGGAGTTTATGTGGGAGCCACAATACCTGGAGCCGGAGTACTACCTGTCGAAGCGCTTTGATTAGGCCTCTTTTTTTGTTGTTGTTTTTGTTTGTTTGTTTGTTTTTGCTCCGCCGTGGAAAATTAAAAAAAAAAAAAAAATAAACGGGGGGTGGAATAAATAATGAGAAAACGAACGGACGTTTTTTTTTTGTTTTTTTTTTTTTTGTAAATGTGTGCGTGTATTTTTTTTTTTTGTGTGTGTGTTGTTGTCTGTTTAAAGAATGCCCGCTTCAAATTCCTTTCTCGCATTTGTGTATTCATCCCGGTGTGTCTATTTTTACTTTTTTCTTTTTTTGTTGTGCTCCATGTATGTTTGTCTTTTCTGTTCCTCTCTTTTTTTTTGCTTTGGTTGATGTGAGGGCTGATGGCCATCGCCTCTGATGCGACGAGTGATGAGGATGACGACTGCCAGTTTGAGTACGTGGCGCCGTCGGCAAACCGGGAGAAGGGGGCTGCAGGCGCTGGCGCCCAGCGGGTGCGCAAGACGGTGTACGAAGAGGAACGCGATGCACGCGTGAGTGCCATTGTGAGCCAGCAGGGTCTTAAGCTGCCGCTACAGCCGGAGGCGGCCCCGGCCACGCTGCGTGCCACGGAGAAGGAAGGCAAAGTCACGGAACGGCAAGACGCGGAGGAGGGGGAAAAGAAAAGCACCAAATCCGCGCCTAACCCCACGGAGGAGGCGCAGCGACTGAAGAACCAACGCTACTCCATTTACCGTCGAAACAGGTACTTGAACCAGAATGCTCTGAGGGAAGTGGATCCCGGTACAAAGCGCCACATGCAGATTGTGTATACACCCAGCAATGCAGGGGGGAAGCAGTATCATACATTGCGGCGGGGGGGATACACCGGAACCTTTTCAGGAGGGCGACGGTTCACGCCGCGATTTCCTTCAGGGTATAAAAGACCACGGGAATGACGCTACACGCACATCCCCCCCCTATCCAAAAGAAAGAAATAAGCTGCGTATACATAACCGTTTTGCAAGGAATAAGAGACAGGGACCTCTTGGATATGATTTCTTCGTCAATGCTTTCCCTCTTCGTATATATATATATACATATATGTATATGATTGTTTATTTTTCTTTCATCCCGCTGCGGGTGGCGTATTTTGTGCATGGCCTCTTTTTTTTTTTTTTTAGTTTTTTCATTTTTTTAGCCTGTTGATGCATTTTTCTCCTCTTGTTTTTCACATACATTTCACTCGGTCTTTCTCTCTCTTCTTCCGTTTCTGTATGCAACTGGCCACAAGGGAGGGGTGGTGGGAGGAGGGAGGAGAAAAGGAGGGCGTGTTTGAAGGGGCGATCGAAGAGAAAACAGTCATGTCGTTCTTTTTTGATGAAGACTCTGGTGATGAGCCTGCAACGAAACGACACTGCACCGAACAACAGCAACGAGCGCAAGGACGTCCTCATGGCGGCTTTTTCAACGGCAACGGAGAGAAGGATGAAGATGAAGACGAGAGGCCCGTGTTGGCCAGAGCAGGCAGTGATCGGGTGGGACTGCGACTCCTGCAAGGCATGCAGAAGCCCACGTCGTCATCATCGTCTGTGCTTCTCTCTGGGAAAGAAAAAATGCGTGTGGTGGAGGCGTACGTGCCCCTCTCCGTGGGAGGGTTCATGGAAAGCTCCGCAGAGACGGCCGTGGACAACCTCAGCCAAATAAAGCCTGGCAACGTCATGTGTCTTCGCAGTCCCGCATCCTCCGCCTCACAAGCGAGCACCGGAATGAATTTTGTAAGGGAGACAGACCTCACAGAAGAGGAAAGACGTTACGGCAAGCGACTTTCTTCGAACATGACGCAGGAGCTCTTTGAGGTGGGCCGCGTGGACCGCGACACGGGAATGCTGGAGGCCATCTTTCTTGACGGAACGCGAAGGAATTTAAAGGCATATGCCGTGCGTCCCGCTGGATTTGTGGAGAAGGAACTTTTTCGGCAGTGGAAGCGCGACCCCAACTCTCGCCCGGTGCGAACTGTATACGCAGCGCCACAGGACGCGAACGCATCACCGTCCCTTTCGTCAACGACGCAAACGACAAGAACAACGGCTGTTGACTCCGCCAAGAGGAAAAACAATACGGCTGCAGTGGAACTGATGCCGTGGTGGGTGAGTCCCCAGCTCATTGTGCGGGTTGTCGAGAAGTCTGCGGGAGATCTGTTTGGGAAAAAGTTTGTGGTGAAATCCCTCTCCCGCAAGGAGGGAAAGATACGACTGGCGCCATGGCAGCGGTCCGCAGGAAACGGCGAGTCCGCAGAGAACTCCCCGGTTGACATTGTGGGGTGTGAGGCGTTGGAGACGATCGTACCCAAGGTGGGCGAACAGGGCATCATTGTGCTTGGAAATATGCGTGGAGAGCTGGTGAAGGTTATGGAACGGCACCGTGACGTGAATGGAGAACTTGCGTCGCTGAAGGTTTGCTCTACACTGACAGGGAACGAGTTTACCGTCGGGCCGCATGAAGTGTGTCAGCTGGCCTGCCCACGGCCCTAATATCATTTTCCAAAAGAAATATGTGATTTAAAAGGGAAACGCATGCAGGTGACGTGGGTGTGTGTTTGTTTGACTTCTTCTTTGTTGTTGTTTTTATGTGGGGGGAGGGAGGGAAGAGAGCGTGTTCTCCATTACAAGTGACTGTGTTGGTTTTTCTTGACAATTCTCCCCGTGTACGTTCCTCTGCGTATATGTGCATGTGTCCATTTGTTTCACCCCTCTCTATCTCTCTCTCTCTCCCTTTCTTGCATGGCTGCGGGTGGAAGTGCCGTGGACGTGTCGTATTTTTGATGCGGATGTCAAGGAAATTTGCTGGTCGATTGATGCCACACCGGATCGATGAACAAATGGCGTCCTTTTTTGATACGGAATTATCGGCCAGCATCATGCAGCGGCGGTCTTGTGCTGCGAAAAATAACCGCCACACGAAGCCACCCCCGCAGAAGCTGCAGGAGCGACAAGAAGATGAGTTGCCGCCGTCGCCTTTTTTTGATGCCTATGTTGTCTTGGACTTTGAGGCGACATGCGAGCGTAACAGACGTTTAGAAGAGCCGGAGATTATTGAGTTCCCCATGGTGTTGATTGACGCCCGAAGCCATCGCATTCTGACAGAGTTTCAACGGTACGTGAGGCCTGTCGTCAACCCGATATTATCGGATTTTTGCACAGAACTCACTGGCATCAAGCAGTCGGTTGTCGACGCGGCAGAAACATTCCCTTTGGTGTTTGACGCGGCACTGGAGTTTCTTCGTGGTAGTGGGTACGGTGAGGCACCACCGTTGCGTAGTTATCTCTTTGTGACTTGTGGAGATTGGGACCTGAAGACGATGCTGCCAAGCCAGCTGCGGACGACGGAAAAGACCGGCACGGCAATTGTCGCCCCGTCCACCTTTAGGCGATGGTGCAACTTGAAAGTACCCATGCGAACCATCGTCCCTACGAAGGCGCGTGGCATTTTTGACTTGAGAGAAATGTTGGCTGCCGTGGGTCTTCCTTTGAAGGGCCGCCACCACAGTGGGATCGATGACTGCAGGAACATTGCATCAGTTGTACAAGAACTTCTGCGGAGGGGGCATGTCATTGCACCGACGACAGACCACAGCGGAATTCGGCAGAGGGAGAGTTCTTTGTCGCGTGCGGAAGACAGACCGCTGACGGGGTTGCGTGGGGGGACAC